CATCTGCATTCATTCAATGGCACTTGAAAAACAAGTTGTAGCTTTTAAACACATCTGAGAATTGCCAGTACAACAATTGGCAGAGTACCTTATACATCACACAATTTAGCACAGCTGTTTTCCATATCCATTATTTGCATTCTGGGTTCATTAGCCTGTCAGAAGTTGCTTTAAAGAAACCAGTTTGGTTTTTTGTTTGTTAATTACTAGAAATTGTAAATGAACTAACTTGGAATAAGGCTTTACTAGATCTTTTCTTACTCATTTAAATATATCATGCAATGTAACTGAATAATGTAAGTGAACTATAGAATTTTAATTCATATTTAGATTGAATTCCTCATGATTTAGTGAGCCATCTCATGTGTTTTTAGTTTACTTCATCCGTTATTAGTCTATGTTGTTTCAGTGAACTAGCAGATGAAATGTGAGTGCTTGTGTCTCCTTGGTGAAGTAACAGTATTACACTGAGTCTCAGGGAATTCAACTGCAAAATGTGTATAATAATACCATGAAGTTATTAGTTGGTAAATGGATTCATTAATGGCAGTAAAGACTCTTAAAATTAAAAAAAAAAAGTTTCAAATTTGAAATACATTCTAACAAGCTTTATAGTACCTTGCTGTGAAGAGAGGATGAAAACCATATAATGGATAACATGAAGCTAGAGAGCTTCAACTAAGTTAAAAGTGGTCCTACAGATAAAAAGTGCTGTTGGATCTTCAAGATCCGCATAAATTCAAAGTGAAATATTTGAAGTAAGCTAGATTGCTTGAAATGCCGTTTTATTCCAGAGCAATAAGGTGAGTAAGAGAAAAGGTCAGCAAAGAGCCACTGTCCAGACCTAGGTGTTACGAAAGCCAAAGCCTACCTGGAGATGAATCTGTGAGGGATGTGATGAGCAACAAGAAATGTCTCAGCAAGTGTAGCAGCAGCGTAACAAAGTCTGGAGAGAATGTGATTCATCTTGACTTTAGCAAGACTTTCATCACTGTGTCCCCTAACATTCTCAGTACAAAGTGCTGAAGAATGGGCTACGCAAGTGGATAGTTGGACAGACTGAAAACTGGTCAAGCTGCTGAGCTTAAAGGGCTGTGACCAGTGGTACCAAGTCCATCCAGAGGATGATCTAGCTTGGCTGCCCTACCTTGCCACCTGTAAGAAGCATGGATATAGGATATCAGTGCTGTTCTGTGACAGCTTGAACTCAATTGTCCACAGACCTCCAGTGCTCTTGTGGCATGTGACACCAGTGCCTATCCCAGAATGATGCTACAGTCCTATGACATTGCTTCAAAAGCAAGTGGGTTGTAAGAAGGTAGGCAAGTCAGATTCTGCAGGTCCAGGTCCTACATATTGCAGATAGATTTCTGTAGGTCTGTAACAAGGCAACACGGTTTTCTTCCTGTGTGTTCTTGGTGAGTAATGGTCTTGAGTGTAGACTTTCAGCCTGCACTAGCTGCAAAGTATATGAAGAGAGAGGCTTTCAGCCTGTATTCCTCTTCTGGGGCTGTGTAGAGGGAGAAAGCATGAAAAGATGCACCAGAAGCTGAATTTATGATGGAATATTAGCATAAAATACATTCCCAGTGCCTGTATCCATTCCTTAAGAAGTGCAGTTCTCTGAAGTCTGTCTGACTTACTCCATCAGATCAGTCCTTAGCTTGCTTGAACTCCAGTGGCATATAAATAATCCCATTAGTATTTATTGCCTCTGCAGCCTACTATGAGCTCTCTGTGTTCTGTCATTAATTCTTTTAGCTACGATATCCCAAGCAAGCAAGAAACAAGACTTCACAAGGGAATTGCCTAAACTGAGGGATTCAAACAGCATAAAATAAAAAACTGTCAGGTGATCTATCTCTTGTTACAATTGGAAGGAGATTGTTGGTCTAGGGCATTGTTATCCTTGTTGCTTCCATCTGGTTGACGTTTACGTGAGGGAGACTGCATACAGAGGGATGCCCTATGTTGCCAACTGAAGCCGTTCCTTGTAGTGTCGCAACAGTAGACAAGCACTCTCTCATTTTGTGCTACTAATCTCTGGAAAATAGGATACCTTTGCTTTACTAGCTGCCCAAGAATTGCTTTCATCAGGAGACAATTTTTTTCTCGAAAATAAAGAAATCCTATCGTAGGTAGTACATTCCAATGCCTTGAATTTTTTTTAAATGTGTATTACTTCCTAGTGGCTGAAAATACTTCCTATGCTTCCTTTAGTGCAATCAAACTACAAAACTGTTTCACACAGCTGCCCAGAAGCAGAAATCACTCCTTCAGCAAGTTCCATGCTCAGGCATGTCTTACCTAAAATGGGTCCTGACTTTGAGTAAGATAATTATCAACCTGTTGCATGGATTAAGGATTGGAGCTTCTTCCAATTCATTCACATGACTTGTTCAGTGAAAACTTTGTCTCATGCCTTAAGTCACATCTGATTGTGTTTCAGTAACATCTTATAAAGACGTCTTTAAATTATATTTCATAGATGGATGAACCTTGGTGAAGTTATGAACTTAATTTACTATCAGCAACGGATATTACTTCTACCTGGCACACTATCTATGCCTGGATGAAATAATTGCATCTCCTTACAAGACGTTGCTAGCCTCTTGCTGTGGTGACAGGCACACAGGGTTGTGTGGTCCCTAAACATGATTCCTGGAGTGGCTGTGATACCTCGGTTCATGCTATCTTCACTTCGGGCTCATTTGTTCGTTGTGGCCACAGCTCCTTCCATCTGCTTTTGAGGGCAGAGGATCATTCAGAGCTAGTGGGCCCTAACATTTCCTTCATTAAATGATCATTTTGGCACGTCCTAAAACCTTTTCTGAGGTTCAAAAGTTGGAAGGAACTAGACAATGTCGTTCAGACTGGATTTCCATCTCCTAACACCAGCTCTTAACTTGGTGTACGAACAAGCAATTTTCATCAGGTTGCATGCATGCACCTTTGCTGCAAGATGTTTGGAAAACATGTGTAGCAAATACTCTTCTGTGTGCACTGCGAGGCAAAGAGAGTTAGGTCAGGAAAACTTTGTCCTTGACATTGGTGTAACTGCGTTTGCTAGCACTACAAAAGCAAATGATAGCATGATTGAAATAACAAAACAGTATCTGGGGAAAAGAAAAAAACACTCAGAAAATAAATCTGAAACTCACACTTTTCCTAAGCTAATTGCAAATAGGTATTCAAGGCAGACAGAGAAGAGCGGCAGAAGAAAGCTGATGGGCAGGCCAGGAGGACAGGCCATTTGCCATATCGTTTGACATGAATTACACTCAGAACATTGTCTTTACAGACTTTGTAAGAAAAGGACAAAAATCTTGCCTGACAATTTATCTCAGGTATAAAAAAATCCGTATTCTATATACCAACAGCAAAAAAAATTGAGAGTTGCGTCTCTTTAGCTTGGAGAAGAGGAGACTGAGGGGTGACCTCATTAATGTTTATAAATACGTCAAGGGGGAGCGTCAGGAGGATGGAAACAGGTTCTTCTTAGTGATGTCCAGTGACAGGAGAAGGGGCAACAGATGCTAGGTGGAACATAGAAGGTTCCACAAAAATATTAGGACAAACTTTTTCACTGTGAGGGTGACAGAGCACTGCCACAGGCTGCCCAGGGAGGTTGTGGAGTCTCCTGCTCTGGAGACTTTCAAAACCCGCCTGGACACGTTCCTGTGTGACCTACTGTAGGTGATCCTGCTCTGGCAGGGGGGGTTGGACTAGATGATCTTTTGAGGTCCCTTCCAACCCTGAACATTCTGTGATTCTGTGAAATAAGGTTAAAACCAAGTGAATATGTTTTTTGTTTTGATCTGAGTGGCCAGGTGATTCCTTGAAGGGAGACCCATAAACTAAAGCAAAGGTTCCTGGGAAAGCAAGCGAATCACTGGAAGAAACTAGTTGTTCCTTGACAAGACAATGTCTGACAATTGCTGACACAAGACAGCGAATTCTATATTTGGACCTGGAAGGATGATACTTTTCACCAGCATATAAAAACTTTGACCATAGGTGTCTGTTGTGTTTAGCAGTTCTTTGGGCCGGTAAACTGTTACCACATTCAGCTGTACTGTCTTCAGAATCAAGGCACTGAAATGTTGGCCTGAAATTGGAAATAGAGCTGTGACTTTGAATCTAAGGAATGATTTTGGTTCCTATGTGCCATGTCAGTAGATCACAGAATCATAGAATGGCCTAGGCTGGAAGGGACCTTAGAGATCATCTAGTCCAACCTCCCTGTTGTGGGCAGGGACACCACCTCTTCACTAGACCAGGCAACACATGGGGACTGGTCTTCAGTCTCTAGAGTGTCTCCAATGACTGGTGACTAGTCAGCCTACCAGAAGCAGCCAGGTAATTCCTGTAGCTAGACTGACTCCATAGCCTTAATAGTCCTCAGCTCTCCCTTACTGAAGTGCCCAGGTATGTTCATTTACCTCTGACTGTCATAGACTGTATATAATTAGGCTTCCATTTTATCACTTTCATGTGTGTCTTGCTGCACTGAAGCCTCATGAAGCTGACACTTTCTGAATTCTGGTATCTATGTATCATCTGTTGATCTGTCAGGACATCTGAGGGCAATCCAGTAGTTTTCTTCACAGGAAACACCAGGAGTTTTTTCATAGGAACATGCACACTTACAAGCGCAGATGTGTGTAGCCATGGAATAAAATAAAGTTCATAGACTTGTTGAGGCTGCAAAAGACCTTTGAGATCACCAAGTGCAGCCTATGAACCAACATCATCACATTGGCAGTTCTTGCAGTGCAACATCTTATTGCTGTTGTGGTCCTAAAAGAGGGAGGATCTCTGCTTTTTCACAAAGATCCTCTCTACTGCATTCTGAAACTATCACCTGAGGGAAAGCTTCCCTAACAAAACCTTCTGAAACTAAACAAAGGAGGTCATAAAATCCAAACCCTTGGTCCTTGTGACTGCTATTCAGCTGTAATAATCTAGGGACCTCACTATTTTTGGTTTTGCTCTTTCAGGATTCCCAGCAGGAGAACTGCAAAAGCCTTTCTTTTGGGGAACAGAGTATCCCAGGTAAGTACTGCACCAGGGAACTTCATACACCTGGAAATGAAGAATAATTGGGAAACATACTAGAAATACATGTAGACAAAGAAGTGGGTATAGAGAAGAAGGCCAAGCTGCTGATTACCAGCAGGTAGTGCACAGGAATAATGTGTAGTCCTTCTGTAGGAAAAGCTTGGCCCTTGGCGTATGTGTTCTTCCCTGCCATGTTCTGCTATTAATACAGAAAAAACAGACTTTGAAAAGTGCTGCATTGTGCGATAACTTTTCTTACCCTTGGGAGCTGTATGTGTTGCTGTTGTCTTAAAATGATGACTGATTTCTCACTGGAATTGCTAATTAAATGCACCTGAGTGGAAGAGTTTCAATGCTCTAGCATGCAGATGCAGCAGTGTGCACATGGCAGGCATTAAAAGGAATAGTAAATCAGGTAACTAACACTTCCTGAACAGAAGTGAATACCCTGAGAAGCCATTTATTATCAGCTTATTGTTCACTTTCTGCTAATAGCTAAGATTAACAGTGGGCCTTTGCCTGTGCCTGTTGAGGCACATGAGAATATCTCCATGTGCATAAGTGATTGCCTGAGCAGGCCCATGTGCTTCTGTAGCTGAGGAAGAGTAATTATAAGTCACATATATTTAATTTTGAAAAATCACCAGTTTTGCGCAGTTCAATAACTTTCTATTTTAGGGTAGGATAAGACCATGAAAAGTTTCTGACGACAGTTTCCAAAAGTTATTTTGCAGTTACATAAAGCCAGTTACTGCTGAAAAATATCATTAATAAATCTTTGTTAAAAAAAAATCAAACTTTTCAAACACTTTGGTTTTGCCATGTTCTTGTGTCCTTGTAAACAGGAAATTTGACGATATGTGTAGAGAGACACATTCAATTTAGGAACAAATAAATTGGTATTCAAAGAGAATTCTTATGAGCCAGATGACTTTCTAAGTGGTAATTGGGGATAGAAGAAAGTCCTTTCTTGTTAAGGTGAACTTATTTGCTGCTGTGATTATTGCAGACTTGTTTCCATCTTTGCTTTCTGAAGATTTCTTTGTACTCTGACCTTCTGCCATAGTGATAAAATTGTGGTTCTTTCAAAGAATTATACTTTGCTCATTTCTCTTCTTTAAAGGTTACCTTAGCTTAAATTGGTTTTGCTTGAGTACATATCAAAATGAAATTTAGTAAACAAATGTAGCTGTTTTATATCAGACAACAGATTGCTTTTGTCCTTGAAGTATTCTGGATCTGTTTTTTCTCTGCTTAAAAGAAACAGTACACAGCATCGGAACAGCAAAATCATCAAAATCATCAGCACTTGCTGGGCGACTGATTAGCAAATATTTAACATTTACTGGCATTTTAGTGTCCACTTCCAGTATAACTACTATAAAACAGTTGCATCTATTTACATGAAAGGGAAGCTATCACCTTACGTCTCAGTACATGAAATAAAATGCCATTTGAATGCCATAATTCATAGTTGTAAGTCTTCAGTGCCAGATATATTGACGTAGAGATTTCAAACTACCTGAGTTGTAGCTTACAGTTCTCTGAAAGTTCCCCTTTAATGTGGTACCTGCTTGGCTGCACCTAATCCCGTTCACCTCTGTCCAGCTGTGCCCCAGAAGTGAAGAGCATGAACAGAGGTGGGAACATTTCTGGCAAAAAACGTTGTTGAGCTGAAGAGGTTTCACAGAAGCAGAGGCCAAAATTCCCTCAAACTTTAACCCTGTGTTTTGGAGCTGAGGAAAGCCCGAGGGGTGTCTGGGCTCCAGCCTCTTTTTTGTCCCTGCCACATGTGATGGCGAGAACCTTAGAGGAAAAATAAGATGTATATAGTAACAGGGTTTATTGGTTCTTCTTGACCTCTTTACATGTTTTGTGCTATTCTTTTTGTACTTCTCCAGCTGCCAAAGATCCTGAATAGCCACTTTACTTCAGATGTGGAAAACAAGTCTAATACAGTACATTTAGTATGGGTAATTATCACAGTGTGCTACACAAGATTGCAAATTCGTCACACAAAAGGATGATAGTTCCATTGCTAAAATGTATATTTTTAAGCAGCATTTTTTTAGTCAGGTCTTGCAATAGTGCTTGGGGAAAAAAAACAACAAATCCACAACACCCCACCCCCCTCAACAGTACAGAAGATTTTATCACATGCAAATTACCTTTCAGGAAAGGAAAAAACCAAAGTGAAGAGCTGTCATAGGAGCAGGGGGAAATAAATGATATAATACTTTCTGGGCATGACTGAGATGAACAATTAGTGTGTTATGGATCATTAGATCCAGTAATAACATGTTAATTCAAAAACCTCTCCCTTTCTCCTGTTTGAATACAATGTGTTAGAAATACTATAAGCTACTTTGAAGTATGGCGTATCAATAATAGAAATAATTGAAATCACAAAGAAAACCTAACAAACAAAAATGCATTTAGTAGATCACTTCCCCCTGTAATATCCACTGTATTTGATAGAAAGAAGCCCCAAGCTTTTCCCTCTGTCATTCCTATTTCTCCCAGATGCTTGTGTATTTGTATATAACAAAAAAAATACATTAATTGTCAGTCAAGAATAAAAAATATTTCCTTCTATTCTGTTTCTCCAGTGCGTTAGATCTGACTGTAGATCATGCCCTATTCCTGGGCGGGTGCATGGATATTGTATGACCTCTATCTTTAAAACTGAAGGGGGATCCGTTTAGTGCTTTACAAACTAGAGTCAGTCATTTGCAAGTCTGTTCCATGTCAGTGAGGAATGACTGGAATTGTCACTATGGAAGTCCTCTGCAGCCCTTGATCTATTCTTTTTTTCATGAATATGCTGAGAAAACTTCACCTATAACTCTCTCCTGTTCTCAGAATACACACAATGCAGTGAGCTGAAGGGTACAATTCAGAGGTCATATGATGCTAATACGGGATTTGATAACAAAATTGTATCATCATGATGTTTTTTAAAGTTTTATATTAAAGTTTGCTTTTAAGCAAGTAAGAATTTAACATTCAGACTTCAACAAGTTTAAGTCGGAACTGTACAACTATGATTTTTAGATCCATTCCTTCCCCAGTTTATATCTTCCCTGAGGTCTACACTCATTTAATGTTCAGGAGTGTGGACAGCTTCTGAGGAAAATGTTTCTTTGTGTTACAGATCATTAAGCTATGGTGCCATAGGAGTAATTGTTGGCCATGAGTTTACTCATGGATTTGACAGCAATGGTGAGTATTTGTCTATATGTTGTTAATATTTTTTTTTAAAACAAGTTGACAGATCAGAAAGCTGACTTGTATACGCTTTAGCATGTTTATTGTTTTGTTTCTTAATAATGCTGAAATTTGTGAAAAAAAAATTCCTATTTTTAAATATATTTACATACAATCTTGCTTGTCTGAACTAGATTTTGTTTTATAAGGACTGTTAGAACTTTGGTGCTTTGTGTTTATTTCGAATGGAAACTAAATCAGCAGAGATTCAGAAAGTATTGCCTGGGGGGACTGGGAAGGGAAAAGGAATAATGTCTGATTGTTGAAAACAAATTTCAAGAAAACTTTTCAGTTTTGCCTTTTTTCAAAAAAACATTATGTAAAAACATTAAAATAGAACACTGGAACAGAAAACAAAGAGCATTTTTATTATTTTTTTTTTAAAGAGAGAGAAACAAGATGTGGTCTAAAATTGTCAAACCAACTGCCCTGAAAAATGTGTGTAGTTGGCATTACCACCATCTGATTTTGGCTACCTCAGTAAAGTACTTTTTAAAATCGGGCTCCTGAGAGACAGTGGTGGGAGGAGAGAGAGAAACAAGAACATCCTCCCCTAGGGAGCAATTCTGAGTGTCTGACTGACATCCTGCTCTGACTCACTGTCTAGAGAAACCTCTTTCTACTGAAAATCTAGGGAGTTCAAGGAAGAGCAGACTTCTAGCTCACTGCCTAACTAAAGTTAAGTTGCTTATGCTGTGTTACTTCAAATACCTTTTAAAAAATAAAAGGAAAACCTTGTACCCTGTTGGCACTGCTCTGCAACATTTTGTGTCAGCAAACACTCCAGAATGGAAAAATGTTTTTTCACAAACTTCCATCTCATTTCTAGGAGAGTATCCAATCTCTATCATGTCTTGAGAAAGTCAGAGAGAAACCTAAGGTGTGATTCCCTAAGCAGACCATTGCCTCTTGCCCAGGTTCTTATCTTCCGAATGCAGAAATAAATGCATCTCTAGGGAATCTGTTATCCTGACAAGACTGCAGAAGAAATAAAGAAATAAAAAAAAAGAAAGAAAACATCTCCAGTACTTGGTATCATGTCTACTTGTTGCTCCCTACCTCTCTTTCCTGCAGTTGTAATGAAAAATCACACCCTAGAGCAAGGCTACACCCACATGGGCAGCTAAACCTGCTCTCAAAAAAAAGTCCTAACACGTCTTGTGTCTTGTGTCTGACTGGCTGGAGACCTGATGGAGGTTAGATGCTCTCCCAAAAAGGAGATGAGGCAAGTTGAGACTGAATCTTCCATGAGCCATTGCTGTAACTATCAGCCCAGAGAATAAGAAGTACATGTCCTTACTTTGCTGAAGAGGGTTCAAATGTTCTGGGTTTTTTTGCTCCAAGGTAAAAAAAAATGCAGCTTCAGAAGTGTCCATGGAATGGATTTTTTTCTCATCACGTGCATAATTAATTAATAATAGATCAGTTATCATCACGTTATCAGAATCAAAGACATATGGGCTGAGGATGAAAAATACCCACAATTATACTTACAAGAAAGCTCATAAGCCTCTTACACTATGTAATTATAAAATGTACTATAGAACTCATTAGTCATTACTATTTTTTTCTGAAACTAGAAATTGTGACAATAAATAGAATGTCAGCTTTTCACCACTGACTTGAGTAGGGTCAAGATTTTGCTCACTGTTCTCATCCATTTTCTATGCACACTTGCATTAGAACCTTCAACTTTCATTTCTGTGCAAGTGATAGATTCCAAAACTGGAACAGTATGTTTTGGAGGTTTTTTCCTATGAAGTTATTTATTTTCATTCTTTCTTTCTTAAGGTCGGAAATATGACAAAAATGGAAATTTAGACCCCTGGTGGACAACTGACTCTGAAGAAAAATTTAAAGAGAAAACAAAATGCATGATTAATCAATACAACAGTTACTACTGGAAGAGAGCTGGTTTACATGTACGTAAAACACCTGTGATTGAAAGCACTGGTGCACTAGGAGTTTTGGACTTTTTTTTTTAAGTTTTTTTTTATAAATCTCAACATATTGGGATTTTTGGCTACCAAACTCATTTCTCACAACGAATCATTTTTTGAAGTGAATAATTGTGATTAAAATTGTCTGTCAGATTTGATTAGTCTAATCAAATACCACTACCCACACCCTGGTGACAGGGTTAAATCACTTCTCCTCATCACATCATTTTGGAATCAGAGAAAGAGGATGAAGCAATTCAGCAAGGCTGGTCTAATTACTGTGAGGATGTTAAATGTCTTCTGAATATGAGGTCCATAATGAAAACTAAGCAGTCACTCTTTTTAAAAAGAAGAATATAATAGCATGTTTTATAGATTCCTTGAGCAATTCCATCTGTTATTTATTGCAGCTATAAAATGGATGCATAAACCCTACTTTATTTCAGATTCAACTCCTGCTATCTCTTCAATGTGTGCCTGCAGACCCAATTTGTGTCTCAAATAAAGGGAGTATGACATCAGTAGCTCATGGAAAAAGATTGAGAAAGAAAGTGCATGGGAATGGTTTCTGTTTCATTGTCTATCAGAGCCCTTGGCTTCCCTGAAAATGTGCACATTATGTAAGTGTCCAAAATGAAAGATAGATAGGATAAATCCCAGACCTTCAGAAATCAATAGCTAAAATTCCAGTAATGTTAGCTAGGACATGACTATAATCTTAATTTTTAGGATAAAACACATACCCCACCACCTTACTCAATTCTACTACCTCTATGTACGTTTTAGAATCAGAAATATAATTACATCTTTGCCTTTTAAGAATAGCAAGGTCACACTTTCCCCAGGCTGTTTGTATTAGTCTCAGAAATTATCATTCTGTGATTCTGGAATCCTGTAATTACAAAGCTATATTGTAGGCCAGTTTGAAGGCCAATAACTCAGACTTGAAGTACTTCATATAAGCTAATTTACAAATAAAAATTCTCAGGCCCATTCCTGAATATTCATAGGACAAAAATTATCAATACAAAAATGCCATTTAAAGAAAGTCTTTAAAATCTTTCCCAAGGATGTGACTGAGCCATTCCCATGCTCCTGCCATTGGCTTGGCCATCCCTTTTAACTTCTGTGGTGTCTCTTGTGTTGAGGGAGATCTAAATTTCTGCTCTGGTGTAACTACTACCTTTGGAGTCCATAGACAGGCTTACTGTAGAGATCCTGTTACCCACAGCCTTGTCATCTGCAAGGATTTTTCCTGTTATTTCCATGAAATAACCTAAACCACACTTTAGATGATGGAAGAAGAATCTTCATATTTTCTGCCATATTTTATAGCTTCTGTATGGAAAGCTATGCATGCAAAAAGCGCTTTTTTGCCTGTTGTTTACATCAATACTCTGCAGGTTTTTTACCCCTGTATGAATATTTTTCAGGGATCAAGAAACCTATTTACTCTTCTTTCTCATCTAGTTTACAATAATAATATCTTCAGAAAATGAGCATAATGAAAGAAAAAGGGGATATAGAAATAGCTTCAGAGTGCACTAATCACATAAAGTCATTTAATGAAATAAAGGCCTTATCGTGGTCCCTGAGCCCTGTCATGAACTGTCTGCACAGAGTAATCTCAGATACCTGACCCAGAGCTGCCTGAGATCAGCAGAAAGACTTCTTCCACTTATTAAAATGACCTATGGCCCAAATGTCACTGCTAGGTTACTCCTATCTGATGCTCTAAATCAATCTACTTCACAAGCCCACTGCAAGAAAAGTGTATGAGTAGCCAGGTCAGAAAAAAATTCTGATGTGTGTGTCTGTTCCCTGGTGTCTCAGCACCTTTTCTCCTAAAAGCACCTTTTGTAACTCCAGCCTTCTCAGGGGAGGGAGGGCTGGCAGGAAAGGGGTGCACTTTCCTCCACTGCTCCCATTTCTCCTTTATTACACCCTTGGGTGTTAAACTAGATGCAAGACATGAAGCAAGCAGCCATGATCTTATGTGGGTGCTCATCTGCACTGAGTGGCTGGGCTGTGCACAGGTACCTGGATATCCCCTGGGTCCTTCTACCTTTTCTCCCCAGTTTTCCACTCTTTTACTATCCTGAAACTAAGGTGACTCCTGTCGCCAGCTCCCCTATATTCATCCCTGTGGCATGGGAGTATCCGACCTTATCAGAGTATCTACAGGCCAGCATTGACCTTCAGAGCTCTTGTCAAAACTATGCTCAATTACCTTGCATATTCGAGGCAGAGTAGAGAGCAAAACTCCTTAATTACAAATACAGTTTGGTAACACTAGGACCTTAGTAGGCTGGATGATCAGAGATAATGCTGCACTTGCAGAAATGAGGATTTCTTCATAATGATATCGTGCTTGGTAATACCAGGAGACCAGCTTTTTCACAAAGTGTAGATAGCACTGCTTCTCACAATATATTCTCGTTGCCATTGCCCTTGCTCTTGGAATCGATACTGGGGAAAAGCAATGTGAATCTCCTTTGCAGATATTTTTAGAGCACTGAATATACTATCAGTTTCAATCCTGTCTCTGACAGTTACTTTTAATTACACTGGTTTATGTTATGACTTAAAAATCATTTTAGCATCCCAGTAGTATATTAAAAGTTATGTAGAGAAACAAATATAACCTTTTAGAGAATAGTTTAAGAAAGAGGCTACTGGATCTCACACATAAGCAAATAAAAACCGTCTTCAGGGAGAATTATTGATGCTCAGATCAAAGATCAGGGACTGGATCTTGAGTGCATTTTATCTACGGCATTTTGTGCTACGGAGATCTAGGACTAGAGCCAGGATAAGTCATCATGGAGGGTTGTTTACTGACAATTTTCACATTGAAACCCAGTTCTCTTAACCAGAGATATGATGGTTAAAATTGTCTGAGTTAATTCTTGCCTTGTTTTATTTTTTCCCTGGTTTCTTGAAGTTGATCAAGAAGGAAGTTCAGAAAGAGGTCAAATGACTGATGTTTTTTCACTCTGCCAGGTGAAAGGCAAGAGGACTCTGGCAGAAAACATTGCAGATAATGGAGGTTTGCGAGAGGCTTTCAGGGTAAGTAGACAAAAACCAGTGTTATTAAAAAAGAAAAAAAGAGAAAGCTGTGGCTAGGCTCCATATTACTGAAAGGCACTTGGTATCTCTTTCTTATCAGGCATACAGGAGGTGGATTGCAGAAAAGAGGGGAGGAGAAGAAGAGCCTTTACTGCCAGGCCTTGAGTTCACACACAACCAACTTTTCTTCCTGAGTTACGCCCATGTGAGTAGTACAAATGTGTTTCAAGTCCCCATGCATTAACCTGCACAATGTGTAGTGCAGAGATGAGGCTGCTTTATTTTAAGAATCTACACCAACCAAACCCAGTCTTTTCAGGGTATAAGCAGAGACTTCTTCTCCCGGGACTATCCTTTCTTTTCTCTTTCTCTCTTTGCCCTTACCTGTCCATGGTGCCAGAACTGCTGGCATTATTTTTGGGTTTGGACAGTGTGGTCACAGCAGCTTTCTTTCCTCTTGCTGCTTCCTTCCACTACAAGGGTCTTCTTACATCATGGGCTCCTTAGCCTCTTTTCATTTTAGCTTCTCAGATTTCTGGTGCTTGTAATATGCAGCAGTTTCTGACTGCTTCCACCACAGACTCCTGTTGAAAATATGTCACCACCACCATTCGTTACTGAGCATGATAAGAAAATTAAGCAGCAGTGAAGAAAATCTTAGTTTATTTTTCCCCGTCTTTGTTTGCTACGCACTAAATATGCTGTAGCAAAACTTTGATGGAGGACATGGGGTTTTTTTAGAAAAACATATAGAACAAGGGAGAGAATCAGAAATTATGTATTTGGTTAAAAATGTTGTGATAAACTCCCTATGAGACAGGTAAATGTTGGGCTATAAAACTTTGCCCACCAGTTGAAGGAATGAATCATCTAAAAATGAAGAAACAGGACTCAATCCAACCAATGCAACCAACTGAGAAATGTGCCTCTGCTGAGAGTCAGTATAGCAGTGTATGGCCGTTTCAGTTTGACAATATTGACCAATGTGTCAGTTTTTCTCCAAGAAAACTTTGAAGCTATAGGGAAGATCTGCAGAACTGCTGCAGGAATTGTATGCCCAGTGGACCCTCTTGAGGTGAGGCACATGTACAGTGAGAGGAATGTATACCAAATACCATTGAGTTCAGCCCATTTCCACAGAGTTCAAGATACTCAACGGACTCATTCAAACTGCCAGACAAAATTGCGCTGAAGTTCACGTATCCTATAGGCATTTTGTCTTAAAGGATTTTATTGAAATGAAACATTCAACACAGGGTTTAGATAAGGTGGGGTCTGAGATTTTACATTCAATGGATACAGCGTAATAAGGACTATTCAGTTGTAAAAATATTGTTTCTGCCCTGTTTTGTGGTCAGTTACAATTGGGTCAACTATCATATCAGGAATAGTGAATTGGGGACCACTAATGGAAGTTGAAAAATGCATAATTTCAAAAGAAACTGACATTTCAACATGGAACAAATATGTGGTATCATAGCTTCAATTTTAGAGATGATAAGCATCATTGTGTGTACCTTTTATACACATTATGTAGCTCTGAGACCAAGAAGTGTGCTTGGTAATTATTAAAGCATGAGATGCTGCAGCACAAGCTGAAAAGCAAACTACCACTATAGAGAACTTTAAAAAAAGAACTAGTAAAGTGTCTATGGTTAGATGATGCAAATGAGTGGGTGGAGAATAACAGTGGATGGAGACTGGATCCATTAAGGGAAAAACAAGAGAGTATAAAAACAGAAAACTCCAAGTTAGCAAAGGTGAAACAGAATAAGATTTCATGGAGTCTTTCTATTTTGTGTATTCTCGAAGTAACAGGCATATTAAGAACAGTGACATTACATTCTGCTCTACTTATAAAGTCATCCCAGATAACGTGCCTGTTTCTGCTATTTCTTCTTTATTAGGTAAGATGCAACTCCTTTAGACCAGAATCTGCGAGAGAGCAAATACATATTGGAGCTCACAGCCCTCCTCAGTTCAGGTAGAGCAAATAATGCATTTACTCAGTATACATACGGAATCAATCAGTGCAGCACACAAGTGGAGAAATTTAGTGTGTTAAGATGGGTTTAAGAACAAACATAAAATTGAACTGTGCTCTTGGCTTAGACTGAAATGGAATTTTTTTTATTAGCTTCTCTTTCACTATTACAAATATTCTTCTGTAAAAATGAAGGGCTTGAATCTACCTTCAAGAGCAGTTGACCCAGAATACGTTCTGATCTCTGTGATGTCCTGTAATCATGGCCTGAGTGTCTAAAATGTCTCATCTAGCACTCTTCTTTTTTCCCCTCTAAGTAGTTCTAGTTAAGAAAACAGTGAATATCAGGGAGTCCTTGGTTTAATCTGCCTGAGTTCATTAAAGGCTTTAAAGTGAGTACCTTGAATTATATTGGTAATGCAAAACAAAACATGCCCTGTAAATTCAATGCAAAACTAAACTCTTCAATTGGCCTTCAAGAGACAAATTGCTTGAAGGAGCTGTGCTAGTCCACCCATAAACAAGAGTGTCTGTGTCTTTGCCCAGAAGACCTCCCATGGGCTCCCCTAACCACAGACACCCATGGACCCCAAGAAAAAATGCTGGAAAAGAGGGAAGGCTTAAAAATTACATAAGAATTAGGAAGACAAAGTTTATTTCTCTGCTCCTCCACAGACTTTGTGTGTCCAAGAGCAAGTTGTTTCTGTTGGGATTCATGTCGATTGCATTTACTTAACTAGGAATTGTGTGTTTATCCTCAGTCAAGTGCTTCATAACCTATGTGTTTTTGGGAAGGATGTTAACTCCATAAGCTGATTCGTAACAGAAGTGTCTCCAATACACTGGATTAGTTGCCTTCTGGAGATTCTGTTGACTAAAGAAGGAGCTGGGGTCTCACCTTCTCCATGACTAAATTTAGGAGATATGAGCCTCAGTTCTTTCTTGGTCAAGTAAAAAAATAACATTGCTTTTGCAGGGGAGCTGTGAGGTTTCTTCACAGGTCCTGACATATTCCCTGGACACAGGCATGCCAGAGCTGAAGATACAAAGTCAGCATGCATAACACACCTTGAGCTACTTATAACCAGAATGAGTTAAGAAATAATGGAACTGGAAACTTAGTGACACAAATTTAATATAAGCTCATGTTGCAGATGTGTATGTTTGGTCTTGGTAGACTTCTATTCTCTGCACTGAATCCTGCACTGCTGTACCTTTGCGATACTAGTTACATGAGCTAGCTAGGGAGAAACTAGTGCAGAATGCAAATCTACACACCTTTTAATGATTGAAAATACATTGTGACAATGAGAACAGGACTGTCAGGCTGATATTGAGCCTACAAAGCAATCTTTTTAAACAATTCCCACCCTTGTCAAGATTTTGGTAAAATAATGTTCTCTTGCCTTTTAAAGTCCTTGGATTTATTCACCTATATGTATATTTAAATATTCTGAATCATTGTACAGCTACATTCCCACGAGGTGGGTGCAAATCACAAAGTACACAGGGAAGCTTGGGGATAGAGCATTCATGAGGAAAATGCATGAGGGCATCAGGCTAAGAAAGAAAATTCAAGATAAGATTAAATTAATTTGGGGTGTAGAAAATACAAACAAAACTTTTTCTTAGTTTTTATGTGAGATACTCAGAATGGGCTTCTTTTTCAGGCCTGAAGAGAAACTGTGGTGCTTGTCTCTTCTTGCAAATCATATCAACTGGGCTAACAAATTATGTTACCTATCTTCCCCAAATCTGCTTATGTCCCAAGATCATTATGAGTACAACAGCAATGCAGCTGGTTTCAATGTGGACAGCTCTTGCTATCCAAAAAGCCCAAACACCCCTTTTAGAAGTAATTATAAAAGGTAACTATAAAAGATTATAGAATTGAGCAGCCCATATCATTGAGCAGCTGCTAGTCAGCCCAGATTCTCTTCACAGTGAAAAAAAGAACAGGCATTTTGAAAGTATCTCTCTACCTACATATATATATGTATAAATAACTGTTATGTAAATAATAAATTTAGATTACCTGGACTCTGCAAGTACATCTTTCTATTGACTGCCAAGGGAGCCCAGGGGAACGTGTTCAGGGGGAGATGTCTTTACTGCAGTTCGATGAGATGAAATCCAGACAGCCCAATCTGATTCCGCAGTTAATATGTGGCAATGTCAAACCCAGTGTTGAACAGTCACGTGCACATAAAGATCTTTTGCGGGCTGGATTCTGATTTTATTTATTTTTAATTGGCAGATTTTTTGGTGTTAACATGTGTCTTTGCAATTTGCGAATGCTGGTTTCAGAGTGAAACCCCTGGCATGGCAGTCAGAACTCCCACTAACCTCAACAGCAGTTCCGCATGAGCAGCTCTTGCTGTTCCGGTCCCTGAATATGTATTTGAAATATTCTTACCATAAAGCTGTACCTCTTATTTGAAGCCTAACCTCCTTTTGTAATTCTGCCTACGAAACTGACCTTTAGACATTTTTGTGCCAGATGACTGCAAATTTTCTTACCCACAGAAAGTCTAATCAACATATTAAGAATGTTTGCTACCATGCTGAGCTATGCTGAGAAACTGATTGTCTGCAGTGGAGAAGAATGCCTTCCCACTGCATAACAAAGAGGGTGGAAAGGTATACAATTAATATCTCAGTAGATCCTTTTCTGCTTTTAACTCAGGATGCTGTTTACTTTAATACCATTACAAATTTCAGGTTAGTAAATTCCAAGACACTTGAAAGCACAGGAAAAATCAGCAAGCAACACAATCCCCATCTAGCAATGGTAAAATAATAATTTAAGACAGCATGAAATAATACAAAAATGAAAGCAGGAACTGAGAATGACTGCATACAAGGAGAAATCTCTTCCCCTGTGCCTGAAGGTGCCAGTCAGGGATGCAGACACATTGTCTAGCTTGTGTGAGGCGGGGATGTGCTGCTCTTTCAGTATCACACCATCTGCGGTGGAAGCAGGAGAGCCTGCAAGCTGGTCAGGACAGAAGCCTTAGGAAATGTATTTCTAGAATATCAGAGTAGTTGAGATACTCATAGGTGTAAGGCTGAGCTGGCCAATAATAGAGGCTCTGCCTGCTCCCTCAGTTTCAGGCTGCAAACTCCCCAGAAGTCAGTGCACATGTGTTAGATGGGTGGGTAGAGGGTGTTGCTAGAAAAATCAAACCACTTCCAAGCCTGCCAGACACCAGCGGTTTGGAATGTGCTAGAAGAAGGACTCCACTGTGCAGGGCTAAGGCTGATATCCCACCTTTGCCGCCAAGGGTCAGATTAGAAAATTGTTCTAAATGACGTAGTATCCACAAAATGCAATTGTTTTTATTGAGTTTCTAGCAAAGTAGAGTGCTTCTCAAAGCACTGAATGAAACAAGTTTATCTTCACATTAACCAGGAGCGCTTCTCCTGAACCTTTTGGTTTTATTTGTGGAAAAATAACATGGGAAGACTGAAACTTCAACCTGAAACTGAAATACTTACAGGCCTGTAGTGTTTAACAGAGGACAAACTACATGTTGATCACTTTTCTCTTTACAGAGTTATCGGTGCAATGAGCAACTTTGAAGAGTTCCGTAAAGCTTTCAATTGCCCAACAAATACAACAATGAACCGAGGGGCAGAATCCTGCCGGCTGTGGTAGACATCTTCCAGGTCTTCTCTCAAGAGGGGTCTGCAATGTCAACTGCTGTACCTGAGCTCAAGCCCACTGCTAGAGTTTTGAAATAATGTTCTTCAATCTGGAGAGATGTTACTTCAAACACATCCTCCTTATCCATGATGATGACCTGCATGGATCTAATCACTCTCGACTCAGAGCCTAGAAACATTGGAAGTAGAAGAGGATAAGTTTTCTTTAATAATAACAGAAAAAAGGAACTCATCCATAAAACTACTCCTGTTCATCTGCAGTTGCATTGCAGTTGATGGATAACTGCCACTATCCATTCTAATTCCTGATTTATAGTTGAACAAGAGGTAAATGCTAAAACTCATTTTTAATCTATCGCTCTGCAGGGGTGCTATGCAGAGTGCTCCCCCACAGAATTTATTCTTTCTAGATGAAGAAATTCATGAGACCTGCTATAAAGCCAGCTCTGATCTGCTGTATGATACAGCTTTTTCATAACTTAAACTGTTTAAACTGTCACTACTCAGCACTCCATAAATGATATTGCATGATGTAAAGACACAAGACTTTATATAAATTCCCTTTAATATTAGTGCTCCAGGTTTTGGAACAGTTTCAAGCTGAGAAAACATCTCGTGATTTCCATCTGCTAGGACTGAACAGAAAGAATACTTTCCAGATCGTGGCCTCACCTAATTTTAGAACAGCTGCTGATAAAAATCAATGCATGGTGAAAATCAGAGGCTTGCAGAGGGAATTCCCAGCACCATGGCACTCAGAAGTATTACAGTGCTTGTTCCTGTTTACATTGTAGGCAAGTTTTTTCCCAAGGGGTGATTTTAACCTTGTGCTGAAGGTAGCTTCACCTACATTAACTTTTAAGCCTGAAATAATATACCAGTTTTAATTTAGGTATTTCTTAGTGCCTGGGTCTTATAGAGGAATGTAAATAGTGTGCATGTTTGTTCTCATGTTTAGGGCAGGGCAGGGTTATTTGTGATTTTAAGGAAAGAAGAATATGTGACTGAAAAACAGAGTTCCAGCAGCTTTTGACTTGTCTGGATAAAAAGATCAATTCAGGAGTAGCGAACTTTTAAATAAAGTGTACATGTGGGCCATTTGAGTGTTTTGTTTGATTTCTAACAATATTAATATTGTAGTAGAAAAAATTTAATACATAACTATTACTAAGGTGGGGAAAAATAAAATAACTCTTTCTTTTGCAAGAGAAGGATACATATTTAACTGGTATTTATTTATACCTTGTGCATTGATTCTCTTTTCATGGTGAAATTGTTTCAAATAGAGAGAGAGTTTCTTTAGACATTTAATTATTGCAAATCTATATGCCTCTGTATATATATACTTATACATATATAAAAAAATTATAAATTTTTTTCTATTTGCTTAAATGTTATTGGTATAGAAATGTTAATAAGACAAACTTGTTTTACAAGGATTGATCAAATATTGTCTAACTGTCAAGGTGGAGAAAGGTTCATCTGAAGTTAAGTTTTTGCAAATGGTGTTAGTGTCCTTCATTTCTGTATAAAAAAAAGGGGGACCTCATGAAAAAATAATTTGTGGAAGGAGACAGGCCATCAAGCTACCTTCCAGAGAGAGGGAAGCAGAGGCTCCTGAACTCAAGGCACTGTTGCCATGTCTGAAAAACAAAATATTATGCTTTCGAGCTAGTACTTCATTTTTTCAATTTTCCCCTGAAAAAGTCAAAGCTTTATTAAGGAAAAAAAGACCTTCTGCTTCCTTCAAGCCAGCCCCACTCCTGAGTTTCATGGTTTACAATTTGTTGTTTGAATTGTCACTACTACATTTTTTTCCTGGAGATATTTTTCAGATGGACTGTGGTGGCAGTATTTTTGGAGACTTGCCTCGAACCAGCAGATATGGATATTAAGCAAAGTGATGGGAAAGTTTTCCTACTAATGGGAAAGTTTCTTATCAAGTTGCATGCCATGCTGAGTTCATTCCTGTGCTCATATAACCATGGACATGACTTGATGTTTGCTGCTTTGGATCAACAGCACAAAGTTCAGGGGTGACATCTCGGCCCCATTAAAGGTAGTACCGATATGGTCATTGTCCTCAGAAAAGTCGTAACATCAACTCCAACACTTATCTAAATTTTCTGCATGACTGGACTATGCAAAAGCTAGTTTCATAGCAGCTCTAAGCTTTCTAACTTTATCTCTCAGATCAGAGATGCAATTGCAAGAGGTCCTCTCTCATGGCTATTTTCCAGCAGGATAAATTCTGTCATTTTGTAGTTCGTGGGGTTGTTTCTCTATACTGGATAGTGATTTTTTCTAAAGTGCCTGATGTTTGCTGCCTTAAAATGTCACTTTTGCTGCTCCTTGCTCAGGTCTTCAATGTGTAACACCAAGGATTTTTGACCTGTGGTATGCATATACCCAACAGCATAGAAACCACTGCAAAACTGTTTTGTCCTTGCTAGGGCATCTCCTGCAGCAGGTAGGGGTCAGGTCCTGGACTGAAGGTACAGCAGGGAGCTGGAGGGTTTGGAGGCAATGCACTAGCAGGGAGGAAGAGAGGGCATAACCAGATTTTGTACCCTGATTTCAGCAGCTGAGAGGGGGCCAACAAGCTGCCAGAAAAGACAGAAGTCCTTGCTGCTGACTGGCACATTCATTGGAAGTACCTCAGTTTGGAGAATCCTTGCTGTTGACTCAGGTTTTCAGTGCCTTGGGCTTAGGTCTTGCATATGCCCACGGGAGGATCCTGACCTGCCTCACCTGCCCACTTTTCACCTCAAACCAAACAGCTGACAATGCAAATTACAGTTCGCTTTGGAGTCAGCTGGAAAGCAAAGCAGAAAATAATCAAATAACTTCTTAAAACTTGGTCACCAAAGGTAGCCAAAACAGAGTAATGGCTTGTGAGATCTCTTCCAGTTGCCTCTGTTTTATCAGACTCCCTGGGCCTGCTGTGTTTTCACATTGTGCCTCCTGGGTCTATGCTAGTAGTGCCTTGCTTATCGCTGTGAGGCTCACATTACATCTATGCAAACAAATCCTTTATCATATATATTCTTCCCCCAGAGCTTTTAAATTGTTGTGGGGTTTTTTCAATTGCCAGTAGTATTGTGAAATGTTTCTTCCTGTTGGCTTGGTAATCTTCTTTTCCAGTGATCAGGAGGGGAAGGATCACCTATGAATGAAACATTTTTACCCGTGTAAATTTATTTTTTCTACTGTGTAGACATAAAGAAACAACCTCTGCTCCTGTCCCAACCTCTGCTTCTTTGGGTCCTGAAATAATGTAAACCTTCTAAGTGCTTAGGTGTGTAAATGATGTCCAAGCTGGGTCTGGATGCTGAAGTACTGAAAAACTCAGTTGCATTGTAAAGCTCTGCCTCTTATCCTGTGTGAGAAGACTTCAGCATTCTTTAGGTAGGAATGCTGTGACGACATTAAATGTTTGAATTATTTATAAAATAATCAGGTGGGTTTACATGTAACTTTGCATTGAGTATTGTTCAACAAATTATAGGCTTAGAAGTATATATCACAGCAATGTCATATATATATGTCCCCAAAGAAATATTAAAAACTTGAAAACTCGAGAGGCAGATCTATAGTGAGTTAAAAGGTCTTTTGTGTGTATGTCGTTTTTTAATCTGAAATTTTATTTTGCTATTCAGCCTATTGCAGTTTTTATTCTTGCATAATATGTTAATTGACTGTTTTAAAGGCAGTTGTGTTAGCCAATAAAAGCTAAAGTGATGAACAATTTTCCTAAGCTTGCAGTACGACAGAAACTTCTTGGCATGTCACTGTCCAACTCTATGATGTTATTTCTGTAATATATAGTCTTTATAAAATGTAATAAAAAGCATAATGACATGGCCCCAGGTTCTCAAGTCTACTGGTGCTACTTGACAGGCTAAGAAGAACCTCCTCTCTCAGGGAGTCGTCTAGCCGTCTTCAGTCAGAGTTTATTAAGGTCCACTTGCCCCCACTAATCTGCTGGAAGCAATTAAAATGAACATGATGTGAACTACTGTGGATGAGTGCTGGGTGCTGCATAAATTGCAGAAGGACAGGCAATAGAGCTGTCCCAAGCAGAAGCTGCTGGAACATAAGAAGGATTGGGAGAAGATCTGCCTGCCTGTCAGCCCCACCCTTCTCCTCTTGCCCCAGTCCATGTATGTCTTCACTCACACTTTGTAGCTTCACCTGCTTTTCAATTGCTTTTAAGTATTCTCCACAAGTGTTTTTAAGAGGACAAGCCTAGTGCCGTACCTGAGTTTGAACTGCTGCTCAGCAACCTCCCTTCCTAGCCAGCAAAAAGGAGTAGTTCTGTTGCCTCCCCAGGCTGTGATGTGACTGCAGGCAGCTTTGCTTGCTGCCATTCCTCACTGTGTAATTCATGAGCCTGACCCAGCATTTATGTTCTTGGGCACAGGGACTGTGCCAAGGCCTTACACATTACCAACTTGGCTCTTCCAGGCCAAGCACCCTATTTCTTGTGCTCTGACCAGTTTCCTGACACTGCTTGGGTGCCCACCTCAAGGCGGCACAAAGCCCGTGAGCAGCGAGGAGCAACTGTACCTGGTGGGGACGGTGGCTGAAGCTGACCTTGCCATATCTTTCGGTGTGATGTTCTGTGGTGACACAGCCTCCCAAAGCCCATACCTTTGTGCAGGCAACTCTACACATAGCTTTTGCGTCTGGGCTGGCAGAGAGATTTTTGTCTTTGAACGCCTGCATCAGTTGTCATCTACGTTACAGCGCAGCCTTACCAACACTTCTATGGGCATAAGCAAAGGTTTGAATAGAGGAAGATGAATGAACAAAACAAAGGTCGGGGTTGGAGCATGACACCAGCCTCAGCATGAGGAAAATGCTTTGCTTAACTCTTGTGGGGTTTGCTGAGCTTGCCTGCAACTTGGAAAGATTCTTGAACAATGGCTATATATTGCCCTGAGGAATTTAGGGGTTATCTGCTACAGCAAGAGCCTGCTTCACTAATCA